GAAAACACTGGCTGCTCTGTATCTTTGTTGTCATCCTGAAGTTTATGAAGGGCCCCAATGCAGTGATCTCCTGAGCATTCATTCACATGTACCATTGCCCAGACTAGACATGGGCCCACCATGTGACTTTGAACAAGGCCTTTGATACTGTCTTGCCTCGATTTCATCATCTAAAAGAATGTAACCAATAAATAGTTCTGTACCTCCTGTTTGAAGCATGTGCCGGCTAAAATGAGGAGGTAGAATCAGACAGACTCCCATGTCCCTTTTGGCCCTAAGGCTCCTCCTACACCTCTGATTCAGACTCTGGAGGGAAGAGAGAAGATGGACACCCTGCTCCAGGAATTCACAAGCTCAGTGAATGCTCTACAGGCACCTGTCCGCCAGGAAGTGGATAAGCCATGTTTTGTAGCATTAAGCTTTATCAGAGCCCTTGCCCTATAATATACAGCAAATGAATCTGAGGAGTCTGGGGACTTTTATGATGTGAGCAAAGAAGATAGCTATGTGATGGCAATGGGAAAGAAAAAACAATACCCTGCACAAACATGAGTCTCTTCTGCTGACCCCCTTTAATTACACCCTGGCTCCCAGTAATGACAGTTTCAGAAGTCTCAAATCTTAAATCTCAGTTGACATGAATCAGATTATTTCCAATTTTGCTGGAGGGCTGGGACTGGTCAGAGAAACTACTAAATCATCTTATCTTGAGATGTGGGGTGGGACAATTTCCCCAAAGTTGTCTAAGCTCCAGTTCTAGAAACTGGACCACAAAAGGTTGCTTTTTACAGGCTCAGACCCCAAACATTCTCCCTCTGCTTCTAAAAAAAGTCAGGTCACATGAGGCCCTTTAGTCATTCAGCCAAGCCACAACTGCACGTGGAAGGCAGAAGACGAAGTCTTCCAGGAAGTATACTATAACCTAATCAGGCAAGAAGAACACCCCCCGCCCCAACACACACACATGCATCCATACACTCAAAAAGTCACATTGATACCTGGGGCTGATCATTCACAATAATATATGTAGTATCTCAGATTGTCACAATTTGAATAGACCCATTTGAATGCTTAATTTCCTTATTTCAAAGATCAGGAAGCTGTGGCCAGAGAGGGTCAGATTTACACACCCTGTTAGGGACCAGGTATCCTGGGCTTTAGTACAGTACATTGCTAAAGTACAAGTCAAAAAACTGAGTGTGAGGGAAGCAGAGTAATGAACAAGGAGCGAAGAGAACTTGGAACAACCAAGGAAATGTTCATGGAGGAAATGAGTCCTGAATTGACTCAGATTACACCAATGTTCTATCAATAGTTTAATAACCTAAATGTCACATGCTTACTCATCACACAAGAAATCTGTGAAGTAGTCTTTTCCCTCCCCAAAAAAACAAAATGTGGTTCTGGGAGGCTAAGTCATTTATCCAATATCTTATCAATTCTATGTGATAGAGTTAACTCTAAGTTAACAGGGTCCTGAATTCAACTTACTCCATTCATCTCATTGCCTCTTATGCCAAAAACCAATCTTTGATTGCCAATGCTGACATGACAGATAGGTATCTACTTAACTACAGAACGTTCAGATGAGCTTTCAAGTCTTCATCTGAGGCCCCCCTCCTGCAGAATTCCCAAGGGCTCCAGACATTAGGAAATTAGTTTCCCACTGCTGCCTTAACTAAGGAATCGAACCTTAGCTGCTAACAATAGCAGAAATATATGAGCTGCTCTGGAAGTCAGATGCCTGACAATGTACCACTGGACCAAAGTCCAAGAGCCAACAAGGGCGCTTTCCTTTCTTGAGGTTTTGTGGGAGGGATTTTTCTTGCCTTTTTCCAGCGTCCAGAGTATGCACCCATTCCTGGTCCATAGTTTCCATTCATCTTCACAGAAGTCAGCAATGGCCAGTCATGTCTTTCACACATGATGTGAATCTGGGGATGATCATCCTGCCTCTTTTTCCCTCTTCAGGACCCTTGTAATAACATTGGCTCTGAGATGGTACAAGATAGTCTTCTTATTTTATAGTCATGTGATTAACAATCTAGTTTCCAACTGCTCACCTAATTCTCTTGGTCCAATTAACCTGACATATTCATAGATTCCAGGTTGGGATGTGGGCACCTTGGGGATGCAATTATGCTACCTGCCACAGAAGAATCTGTAGTGGATTTCAAGATTGTTCTACTAACAGGGATCAATTTAGTGACTAGCAAGAAATCTTTTGAGAGGAGTCCAGCTCCAGTTTCTACCTGACCAGATTCATTCCTTTTCCAATGATAACGTGATCTCGCCTCTCCATTGCTCTGCACAATCCTTTGTCTGCCTGTCTTGGGCCCAGCCAAAGCCACAGGCATGAGCAAGCTCAGCTTGTCACATCCTGGTGCAGCAAGCTTCTAGAGATCTCAACCAAGCAGGTCTCTTCTCCCAATGTCTTACCCATCCCTTTCCTGAATTATCCTATTACTTGGGTCTCTATGCTTCAAAAGCTTTCCTTGCTCGAGTCTGTCTGGAATGCCACCTTGCCCACTTTTTTTTCCACTTGGGTAACTCCCACTGCCCTGTGAGACATAGCATGGGTGTCTCTTCTCAGAGTCTACCATGACTTTCTGCCCAAGACCTGTAAATGGAGCCTTCTTCCAGGGAAATGGAGCTTGCCTTTCCCCATCTGTTCTATGATAATAGGAGTCCCTTAAATTCAGGGTCATGATTGACTGAACGAATGGACTAATTAACTCATTGATGGAGAATTTATTACTTCCTTGTCCATTGGAGAATTGCTCTCATCTCATAAACAGGCTTCCTCTGGAAAGGGTAAAGGAGGCAAGGAAGGAAAAATGGAAAGAAAATATTGGGGGGGGGGGGAAGGATAACAGAAAGAAAATGTGCAAAAAGCCTTGCCTCCCCATCCTATACCTAATCACCATTCTCATATTTCCATGTAGCCCTGCATCTTCAGATACAGCCCTGAGTATTTCAAATTCCTCTTTATGGAGGCATATGACTTTGTCAGGCTACCAGGGGCCATGCTGGTGTCACATCAGCTGTTTGTGCACCAGTCTTATGGACTACAAGTGCTGCCTGATCTCCCCCAGAACACACTTTTTTTTCTTTTAAAGATTTATTTATTTTTTTATTGGAAAGGCAGATATAAGAAGATCTTCCCTCTGATGGATCACTCGCGGCTGCAACAGCTGGAGCTGAGCCGATCTGAAGCCAGGAGCCTATTATGAGTCTCCCACGCTGGTGCAGGGTCCCAAAGTCTTGGGCCATCCTCGACTGCTTTCCCAGGCCACAGGCTGGATGGTAAGCAGGGCCACCAGGATTAGAGCCAGCACCCATATGGGATCCCAGCACGTTCAAGGCAAGGCCCTTAACCGCTACACTATTGCGCCTGGCCCCAGAACACGTTTTAAAAGCTAGTCAAGTGTCAAGCATCCAAAACCTACTTGAAGTTATTTATGATGTTGGTCACTATCTCTCTTAGCAAGCAACTTTAAGAGTTTGGAGTTGGCTTCAAAGAATAAAGGAGAGGCCCGGTGCGATAGTGTAGTGGTTGAAGTCCTCGTCTTGCACACGCACCAGGATCCCATATGGCCACCGGTTCCAATCCCAGCAGCCTCACTTTCCATCCAGCTCCCTGCTTGTGGCCTAGGAAAGCAGTAGAGGACGGCCCAAAGATTTGGGACCCTGAACCCACATGGAAGATCCAGAAGAAGCTCCTGGCTCCTGACTTCGGATTGGCTCAGTTCCAGCCATTGCAGCCACCTGGGGAGTGAATCATTGGACGGAATATCTTCCTCTCTGTCTCTCCTCCTCTCTGTATATCTGACTTTCCAATAAAAATAAATAAATCTTTTTAAAAATGAAGTATAAAGGAGAACTGCATCCTTTTTAAAGTTCCTGAGATTTGGTCAACATTATCTTATAAAAAAAACAGCTGCCACTTGAGACAATGGAATGCTGCTTTCATAATCAGTCTTTTCCCATTTTTAGTTAAATGGGATTTTTCCTCTACCCTCAGATATCTCCCACGTCACCTTCTTCATTCCTTTGTCAATGCATTTACCCCCAACAGTAGTCATGTCCCTTCTGTTGTCTTCCACTTCCCAATACTCATGGCAAAGCCCTTTCCCTACAGGAATTTATAATCCTACACATAAATCTTATACATAAATAACTGGAATTCCTAGTAGCAAACAGTGCATGCCACATAAGCAGTGCAAACAATACTCTGGGAGTTCACAAGCAGGGGTGACTCCATTGCTGGTTTGAAGCAGTAAGGAAAGAGGCTTGCCTGAGCATGGCTTTGGAGACTGCTAAGATTAAAACATACAGAAAAGGGTGGCACACAGGGTGAAAGCGACAGTGCAAGCCAAAACTCAGCGGAACGGAAACTATTCCTTTCATCCCAGAGCTTTTATTGATCTGCGTCCTAAGAAAAATTTTCCAGGAAACCTGTCTTGCTCCAACCTGTTTTCTTGGACACCATGAAGACTCTGTGACTCCACTTTGAGGACAGTGTCATAAAGCAAGGATGACAAGCAGGTAGTGTCTGTCTTGATTCCGCCTCTACCTTCCCCTTCACCCTCCTTCAAACATAAAAGTAATAAATGACTCCATTATCCTTCAAGATCTCCATGCAGAAAAAATAATAATAACAATTCCCTCCAAGAAACAAAATGGATCCTTTGTTGACCTGATGCCACAGGAGAGGCTCTTGCTCATGGATCTAGAAGTGCGAAGTTCCAAACTCAACCAAGAGCCATCCACTGGAAAAGTCCAAAATAAGCCACACAAGTCCCCGATGCAGACAGACCCCAAGTCTTCAGCCTCGAGTCTTCCTGTTGCAGAAGACAAGATGAGCAAGGGGGATCTTATCTCTCACCACATCCTGAGCCAGTGTGGGCAGACAAGAAAGCCCAACCTGGTTGGCAGCTTGAGATAACATTTTATGAACATTCTCTTCCTACTGCCTCCTGATGAAAGAGATCTGAGAGGAACTCCTCCCTGTTGAGGTCTAGTGTAGACCCAGAGGCCAAAACGTGGATTGTTTAACAGGCATCCCAAGCAGTGACTCAAACCATTGGGGATTTCAGAGGAAGCTCGTTATGGTGATGCCACAATTAGGACCTCAGCCCACGTGGCCAGTCAGTCTTGCGGGAGGCCGGACCAAGCACTGTATAAAAGTCCCCACCTTTCTGGACTCCACAATCCTCATCCTTTGCTGGGTCCTGCTGAAGATCAGGTAGGAGAAATATTTGCTGCCTCAATTCTCTGTCTCTCTCCCTCTCCCTATGTGTTGCCCAGTCTCTGGAAGGCCACTGTTCTGCTCCTAAAATGTACTTTCCATATTTATTTTTAAAGTAGTTTTCCATTTCTTGGGCTGATAAAATTATCCTGTGTATGCTATTTAGTCTCTTGCTCCTGATCTTCAAAAGGATAAATCAAATAGAAGACAAAGATTGGGGCTTGGGGCTGTGGATACACAGACAAAGCCGTGAGAGTATTCTTTTCTCAGAGACAGAAGTTAGAAGGAACTAAGGCAGGCATACAACAAAGAGGGATAAAAAGCAACAGAAATGAGATTGTAGGGCTATTCTCCGTCCATTCTCCAATTACCCTCTCAAACCTTCACCAACCAGATGCCAACCTTATGCTTTAATGGTTGATCCTCTCAAATGTGATGTCTGTTTCAGGTTCTGGAAATCAGCCCCAAGATGTCCTTCAGTGATCAGCAGTGCAAGCAGCCCTGTGTGCCTCCTCCATGTCTTCAGAAGACCCAAGAGCCATGCCAGGCACAGGCTGAGGAAGTGTGTGTTGCCCCTTGCCAGGACCCCTGCCCAGAGAAGGGCCTGCCACAAGTCCAGGAGGTGTGTCTTCCTGAGAGCCAGCAGCTAAACCAAGAAAACTGCCCACAGCAAAACCAAGACCAATGTCCGTCTCAGAGCGTGGAAGTCTGCCAGGAGCCAGCTCAGACGAAATGCGTGGAAGCTGTCCCACAAAATGTTCAGGAGAAGTGTCCGCTCCCTGGAAAGGGGAAGTAGCTGCCCAGATGCCCTCTGGGGCCCAGAAGATGGCCATGGGTGAAACCCAGTCCCCACCCCCTTCACTCTGGTGACTTCCCCTGAGGGTCCCTCTGTGTGCAGTGTGCCTCCCTGCCCCCTGTTGTTCTCAGTGCTCCAGGACTTGGTCTGTGTCTCTGAAGATGGTTCTCTCTGTATTTCATCAACTTCTGTGAACAAGCAGTCCAGTGGTAGGTCTCAAATGCAGGAATGATCTTGTCAGGAGAGACTGCTGAAGCCTAGCACAGCTGCTTGGGGACATAAACTCACCCACCCCTGGGTGGGTAACACCCAAGGATGTCCCCATATGTCTTTCAGAGGGTCAGGCTCTCAGCTGACATGCAAACCAAGCTGAATTCTATGAACTTTGCACAGAACAGCATGGATCGATGCAAAAATTAAAAATTGGGTAGATTCATCTCTGCATCCTAAAAAGATCAGGAAATGGTTGTACATGGGAATGATGATTGTGCTTTTTCTAAAGCGTCTATAAATTATTTAATCGGAACAGCCAAGAAAGAATGCAGAGAGGGGACTTTGGGGTCCTGTCAATCCTTGTGCTTCCTAGGTGATCTGCTCTGGGACCTTCATTTTCACCACGTACACTCTGCAGATCTGTGATTTGTGTCTGGATGCAAGCTGGCCACCCTCCAGCTTCCTTGCCTTCTTCTCCCTGGTGAAGGTGAAACATAACAATAAAGCTGATCCTCAGGCTGACATGTGATTTGATGTGTGTTGTTCCATCTCTTCCACCAACCACTTGCCGGCCTCATGATGATACCTTTCTGCTCCTTGAGGGGGGAACCTGGAGCATGAATAAAAGAGATCTCACAAATATAATCTCATAAATATAATATGCTGAAAGGGGCCTCCTTTGGGTCATCTGGACCCACCAGCTCCTCTACAACCTGTCACAGACTCACCTGTACACATACTTCCCACATGACAGCATCCAACAAGGACCTGTTCAGGACTCCAACTTCAGGTCCAGGATTCTTTTCCCAACATGCTCTGTCTCTGATCCTTGCTTTGGGGGATAGGGGGAAAGGGCTAAAATGGGGAGCAAGGGAACTGTGTGGAAGAGAGATCCCAAAATCAATCATGATGTCTACCAATAGAGCACCCATATCAGAGGTTCAGGGTGTCTCTGAAATGACTGCACACTTCAAGACCAAAAATCTTTGCCTTGAAATCCAGCCAGATGTCAGAATAGTTGGGCAGATGGAGCAACCTGCCCACATCCCGTCTCCATGCTCCTGCAGAGGTTACATAGGCTATGGATCATAGGGCCGTAGGAGGAGACTCAAGATACTCAGGACAACACAGAGAAACTGCAGGTACTTCCACTGGATGTCTTTCTGGGCCCCGAGGAAACTGAGCCAGGGTCATCCTCCTGAGGGACAGAGAGATTCTGTCTGTTCCTCTGGTCCTCCCTCTCCACCCAGTCCATGAAACTAGAAAACAGACAGCCAGGACAGTCTCTTCCTGATGGCTGTGCATGGTATTTGGCTGAACCAAGGGCCTTTCAGACTGGGATTGCCCCAGTCTCTCCACTTAAAAATTCCCCAGGACATGAGAGAACTGGATGATGACTTGAAGGAGATGTCAAGAGCAATGGGGAGTCATCATAAACTCCCTGAGTCTGCAGGTGGCAGGACCAGGTTCCGAGCGCTGCACACATTCTCTGAGGAATCCTGACAGCAGCCTCAGGAGTTCATATTCTGCCCCTTCATTAAAGGACTGGTCTGGTGGGCAGCAGATTAAACACAAATCATGATGTGAGCAACCCACCCCTGAGTGCTTGTCTCCGTCCTGACTATTACAGTGCTTTGGATCCAGCTCACCATCCACATGGGAGATCTGGATGGAGTTCCCAGCTCCTGGCTTCAACCTGGCCCAGTGCTGACTATTACAGCAATTTGAAAAGTGAAGCAGAAAATGAAAGGTTCTGTGTGTGTGTGTGTGTGTGAATCTCTCTCTTCCTTTCTGTTCCCCACCCCAGTGCACTGCATTGCAGATGGTAGATAATACATACATAAATGGCACACACAAATTTTTTCAAAAAAAATAATTTAAAAAGAACTTGCATGGCCTCATAAAGCCAGAAAGTGGTAAAGAGAGGATTCTATTTTTTTTAATTGATTTTTTTTGAGTTACAGAGAGGAAGAAAAAGAGAAATCTTCCATCTGCTGTTTCACCTCCCAGATGCCCTCAATATCAGGCACTAAGCCAGGATGAAATCAGTAGCCAGGAACTTCATGTGGATTTCCCACATTACTGGCAGGACCATCTTCAGTCACTTCCCCAAGTCATTAGCAGTGAAGTGAATGGAAAGTGGAGCAGCTAGGTCACAAACCAGCACCCATGTAGGAGCCAATGTCATGGGCAGCAGCTTCATGTGCTATGCTACAACATCCACCATGAACACAGGATTGTAACCCAATTTCATCTGACCCCAGAATGAAGTTTTAATATCTTTTAATTTTTATTTGAAAGGCAAGTTTTGAAGAGAGAAGTGAAGCCAGCAGGCAGTGTCCCTGCACAGAGCTAGGAGCTGTCTTCTCTGTATATCACTCATGCCAAGAGCCCCTCTCTGAAAGCCTTCTAGATGTATAAAGCCCCTGAACATCTCCACATGCCTGAACCCAGTTGTCTTCACAACCTGGCTCACTACATGAGTGTTCTCACCCACTTTCCAACCTTGGAAAAAGCCAGCTGCTCCTTAGGACCCCACTACTCACAAGGCACCAAAAGTCCCCCAAAAAGGCCTTCCTGGGGTGAAGCTCTAGCTAGGCTGAGGGAGGCTCACAGACACTCACCAGCTTAGCTCAAGACTCTGCACTACCTCTGTCCTCAGGCACTATGGGTGAACACAGATGCCACCCAAGATCAGACACTTGCATGGAGAGGAAGCACAAAACTAACAAGTGGAGAGCCAGCCTCAGCAGAGAGAGGGACAACCTGCTGATTAGGGAGAGGGACAAGCCCACTGATTGTAGATAGGGGAAACGACGCCAAGCTGACAGCAGGCCTTCATTCAGCTCTGTCGTGGGAAACTCCACACATCCTTGCACTCACAAAGCTCTCACCTAGCCCCTACCAGGGCCCCTGCTGCTATTGCTGCTGCTGCTGTGGTAAGGTGTGGGGCAGACAGCAGCAACACAGACCAGGATTAGAGACACAGGACCTGAGGACCTGGAGACAGAGTGGAGCAGGCTCACGGCAGCCGGACTCTATGCTGAAGCCTTGCAGAAGCCAAGAGGGACATTACCCAGGAAAAGTTCCAAATGTGGAGGCTCCAGTTGACAGTTTATGTGACAGTGTAGCTCTCCAGTTCCACAAGCCAAGAAGGAAAAGCACGAACAAACAGGAGTTCACAGGAGGGAGAGATGGAGTCACCCACTCATTCAGAGGACAGTATGGAGAACCTGCTACATCCAGGCATGGTGCCCAGCTCCAGGGACCTGTGACAGTGTGGGAGAGGGTGGACAAATGGAGCAGTGGCCTAAAAGACATTCATGTCAGAAACCGTCAGAATGTGTTTTGTCTAGAGAAGACAATACCTGAGGGAGAAGGGCATCTGTCCTCAAATACTGAATGTGATTTGACGAGAGAAGGATGTGGTTTCTGTGAAACACTGACAGACAGACCTGGGACTCACAAATTTCCACCCAATTTTAAAACTTTCTCATAACATGATCTTTTTGATGATGGCAGAAATTGCCATGGGCATGTGGCATGAGGCCCCCTGGGACCAGAGGTGTGCCAATGAGAGGGTGTCCTCCCAACCCCTCCAACTCTAACTTCTGTGCTGAACTGGGGCCCAGGGACAGGGGGCTCCCAAGAATGGCAGGGTCCAGAAACCCGACCCCCAACATCAGGAGACAGGAAGTTCCTTTGACTTGTGAAATACTCACAGGAGATACTTTGGGGACCTCAAACTCCTAGGGACCAACAGAGTATGTGATGCAGCTTGAAGCTAAAGCAAGGGAGAACAAGTGATGGGAAGTGACACCCCCAGCCTTGTGAGTGGAGTCCATTTGTGGGAGAGAGGCCCACATACACTCCAGCTCTGAGGATCAGTGGAGGGCTCTCCTGACTGTCTCCCCACCCAACCCTCAGAATGGGGGTTCAGCGTGCCTCTCTGCCCTTGCCCCTCTGTTTATTTACAATCCACACTCTTTCACTTTCGTGCTCAGCGGAACTGCTTCTTGCTCTGGCTACTGACCTTCGCAGCCTCCTTTCTGCCTACACCTCCCTCTATCCAATCCAGGATTCTCACTGTGTCTGCTGATCCGCGGGCTTCAGACTTGCTCTTGCAAGGAACTTTCAGTGGTGTCAAGCCTGTGTCCTGCAGCGAAGACTCCATGCACCTGCACTGAGGCTGTGCTCCTTAGCTGCCTGTGTGTGAGACGTGTGTCTCCCATCCAGATGACAACGCCTTAGCTTTATGGTGCTCTTTGCCTAATTTCTCCAGGCCAGTCACACACAGTCAAGATATCCTCATAGATGGCCAGCCAGTTTGGTCCCTCAGATATGGACAAAGGACAATGCTGGCCTCGCTGTTACCTGGTAAACCTCTTGTATTGATTTGCCTGGACTGTCCTCATGTTTACACTGAAAGTCCAGCATCCTGAGAATTCTCAGTCCCAGATACACAAGGCTGGTGGTCTCCCTAATTGGGTAACTGCATGTGTCAGACAGAATGTGTGTTGCAGTGTTTTCACAGAGAGGAAACAGTCACGGCTCTCCATGTTGGAGGAATTCAGGGCCCAGGGAACTGCCAACCCGTGGAACAAGTGCCCACTCACTGCCTGCCCCCATGAAGCCTCATGTTTGTGTGTCATCTAATGAGGCACACTTGCCAATAGGCAGGTGTCTAAGTGAGCCCTCTATAAGCATGAACTGGCAGACAATGGCCCAGAAAGATGAATACGAAGCTAACCCTGCTACCATCATGACTGTCAGAATAGCTGGACCCATGGACAATAGGTTTGGACTCCTCCCCTCCTGCTCTTCCTCCACTCCCAGACACCTAATTCTCATCTGACAGTGTCTGGTGGCCACCACCCCAAGCTCCAGATTCACCTTCAATCCCCACCCAGTCTCAGAACCAACCTGTCCTACCACGGCAGATGCTGGACATCCGTTTCCCTTCCCAACAGCTCCATCTGCTGGTCAGGGAGGCCCACAGCCTCTCATAGGCCACCCTTGCTTGGCCTGAGATGGAGCCACATGTTGGGGACCTTCCCCTGCTAGCTGCCAGGCGGTGCCTGGTGGAGGCCACAGCGCAGAAATGTCATTTCCCGAAGACTAGACGGGAGGGTTGTACACGAAAACTTCAAAATCAACATATATCTTTCTCATAATGTGCACATTTCCTACGGTTTTTGTGAAGACCTCATATGTATATGCAAGGCAAAGTTAAACAACGTATGGAAAGGGAACAACATGCATGATGGTTTGGGACACAGGGTCAGGAGTCAGACTGTCAGGATTCAAATCCAGACTCCACCACTTCTAGTCTTTCCTTTAAAAAAAAAAAAAAGAAAAGAAAAGAAAAATCACAGCTGGCACTATAGTATATTAGGCTAAGCTTCCACCTGTGGCACCTGCGCCCACAGGGGCGCAATTTCATGTCCCATTTGCTCCACTTCCAATCCATCTCCATACTTATGGTCTGGAAAGATAGTGGAGGTTGGCTCAGGTCCTTGGACCCTTTATGCACCCAGAAGA